GACACAGGTAAAAGTCTCTCACTTTGGTCTTGGTTGAAACGCAGGCTGGTCACCCCTCGAAGTGGTTGCTGAGTCATGATTCAGGATTGCTTCCCTGGATACAAATGGGGATAGGGTTGGAAAGAGTCCTGGGGTCTGCCCTCCAAGTCCTAGAACTTCTGTCCCTAATTGATTTCTTCTTTCTCCTCCCACTCTGCTACTGACTAACCACAGCATGACTGTAAAGACAAAAACAGGGCAGAGAGTCCTGGGGTCTCCACTCTAAGCTCCCAAGACCCCAAACAGCATGGCCAGGAACCTCTCACATTTGGCTACCCTGACCTGGACCCTCTACCTCCTTCTTATTCCCCAGCCCTCACAAGCTGCTTGTCAGAAAGTAGTAAGAAAGTAATTGCCCCATCCGCGAAACTCCATGTTGTAACAAAGTTTCCTCTGCGCCCCCTCCCTCCCCCTCCCCCTTAAAAAAGAAAGTAATTGCCCCAGTGATATCTCCTCCCTATCCCCAGGCAATCCTGGCCCCAATACCCAACATGGCCTGGAATCAACCCCCCACCCATTTCTCATCTTCATACCTGAACCTAGCACCCAACTCCACATGTCAACAAATGGGGAGAGGGTGCTAGAACATCCATCTCTTCCTGCACCTCCATGACCTGGGCCTGAGACCAACTATGGTTGGTCCACTGTTCAGAACCCCTGCAACCTATTCCACCACTCTACAGTGTTTTCACACCTTCCCTCCTCACAGGCTTCCCCAAACTCCTTCAGGATCCCAGCCTACCTCCAGATGACCCCTTCTCATGCCATGCTAACTTCCTCCCATAAGGACCAGCCTGGATGTTTCCCTAGATCCCCTTATTCCCTAAAGACCCTACCTCAGAATCCCCTATCACTCCAAGTCCCCTACCCATTGGAGGACAGCTTCTTCCATGTGCTCTACTGTCCATGACTCCAACATGGGTTGCCTTGGACTTACCCCCAGGAATCCTGCCCCCCTATGCTTTGTGGACAAAAAAGGGGCTCTACAGAAAGTAACCTCACAGGCCCTAGCCGGTTTGGCTCAGTGGATAGAGCGTTGGCCTGTGGACTGAAGGGTCCCAGGTTCAATTCCGGTCAAGGGCATCTACCTTGGTTGCAGGCACATCCCCAGTAGGGGATGTGCAGGAGGCAGCTGATCGATGCTTCTCTCTCATCGATGTTTCTAACTATCCCTCTCCCTTCCTCTCTGTAAAAAATCAATAAAATATATATTTTAAAGAAACTTAACTTAAAAAAAAAGAAAGTAACCTCACAGGGTGATCTGATTATAAATTCCTAACTGGGCAGGTCACGATGGGTAGTCACACCACAGGCATATAACTTCTTTAGTAAAAGGCTTAATTTTGTCTTAAGCAAGCCCTGTCCATTGTTTCTGCTTATCTAGGATAACATGCTTTTGAAATGCCACCTTTCAGACCCCTTCTAATCCGATCTCCACCTTGCTTTCTCCCCCCTTCATGTAATCTTCCTTAAGTTCTTGCCTTAATCTCAAATGCATGAAAGAAACTGCAAACTCTTATTCTCCAAAACATTTGAGATCTTGTTTCCTGGCAATTGCAGTCAGTTTTGGCTTAAGTAAAATAAAAATTCAACAGGTCTGGACGTTTCTTATGTTGACAGATTCCTCCTCCAGACCCCTTATCCTCTCCCCAGAGCACCTCTACCCCCTTAAGACCATTGTCCAGGACACACCTCCCAAAACCCCTACCTGGGATAA